TCTTGAAGCCATTTCTAAACTACTGCAGATTCCAAAATCATCCGTTCAAACTATTGTATGTACAAGTCATTTGGATGTGTCACAACCTTGCCAAGGCCTTAAGAAGACCCAAAGTGTCACCCTCACCACCAATGAACCACCAAGGCTGAAGCCCGCCATGAACTGGAAATGTCTTGAATACCAGTGTCACTGTCCCCAGTGATGCGAGTTTTACATCATCATGGACTAAGAAGGCGCCACAAAGAAAGTCCCTGTTCAAAATTTACACCTTCAAAATCGACTGAAATTTGCACTTTCCCACATGGACAAGTTTTGTTGTCAGATGAGACAAAAATTGAGATATTTGGCGGTAGCATCCTGCTCTGAAGTTGTTTTGCTGCCAGTGGCACTGGTACATTGCACAAAGTGGATGGAATAATTAAGAAGGAGAACTAACTCCAAATTCTTCAACTTCACCCCAACTGAACAGCTACACGGTTGAAACATGGTTGAACAATGATCGCAAAGCCACATCAAAACTGGTTTCGGAGTAGATAAAACAGGCTAACATTAAGCTTCTGGAATGGTTTTCCCACAGCTCTGACCTGTGTTGACTGTGCTTAAAAGTTGAGTCTGGATCAGTAAACCAACCAGTTTAAATGAACTCTAATATTTCTACCAAGGAGAGTGGTCAAATATCCAGCTGCAATTATTCCAGAAGCTTGTTGATTGCTACCAAAGCCTGGTGGACATGCAAGGAGCTAAGAGCCATTTAACCAAATATTAGTGGGGCCTTATGTATACATTTGATCCTGTATCCATTATAGAAAATCCAAAAGAATGCATACCCATGATGAGTATATGTAAACTTCTGAACACAACTCTACATGCTTATCTTGCGGATGCCATAAAAGATTTTAGCAAATTCCATTAATAAACAAAAACTCTGTGACCAAAGAACAGAGTTTTGAATCCCCACTTCCTGCTTAAACAACCACGTTTTCATCATTCTTGACAGTCAAAAAGAACGGCGGGGGGGTATTAGTCGTTAGTATTCTGCATTAGATGGAATCTGCTATCCAATCAGCAATTTCCCTGCTGAGCTGACCAGTGTGACACTCCTTTGTGCCACTCTCATAACAAAAGCATTTTTCTTCAGAGATCCACTTCATTACCCAGACTAATATGGAGCAAAATGTTTATTCAAATGAGCCAAGATCAAATCCTATAAAATGAATGTGAAAATGCTGAAATGGATTATATGCTTGCAGAAAAAAAGTCATATTTGAATTAATTACAAACTGAAAGGCCATCGGTGCTGAAAAAATGCTTTCTCTTCCTCCATTTCCTCACTTATTTTCTTATTAGCTTGCATTTATTTATTGTCACATTCATCACTGCCCTGTGTCATCAATATGTGTGCGTGAAAAGCAGAGAATAATTACATTTTATCAGCATCAACATGACAGTGGCAAGCATTGTGAGCAACTGATTGGCCGTTGTCTCAAGGAGAAGGCATATTGTGAGCGTTTGATTGGCCCCTGCCGGAGGAAATACTTTGTATTAGCGATTGATTGGGCAGTGTAATTTTCCACCTGAGTGGCCCCCGGACACACACAGTTATTGTGTGACTTTGGCAAGAGCCACCTTTGTATAGTAAGTGTGTGAATGTGAGTTTCCTCTTGCTTTTGAATGATATTCTCTGAGCTCGGATGGGGTCTTGCGGGGCAGGAACTGAGGTTGAGCACAGTGTTGCCCGTCGCACGACAAGTCACGTGGCAGTCTGTCAGGTCACCTCTCGTCAGGAGGTGTACAGCACAGAAAGCAAATCTTCAACGGCAATAACGCAGAAACACATTTCATATCACATTGATGTGTTTTATGTGCACATTTGCACATAAAACACATCAAGTTGCTGTACATCCTTGTATTATCTTTACACTAGTTCACATGCAAATGCATCAATCATCGCTATTGCGTGACGTGGCCTGGTTGTGAGTCCGCCAGTGGACGAGCAAGCTTGGAGTGGAAAGATATCAAAACTGCATCTCCTTCGAGACAGGACGCGGTGACCTCCCCGGCGTGCTGCTTTTTCAGCCTTTCATTTTATGTCTCCGATTCACTGCTCTGATTACATTTAGTTACAAAGAGTTGTTATAAAAGGTGATTCAAAGACAGCTCTCCATCAGGTTTTACAGCTTGCTCGCTCATTATGAGCTCCTTTTACTTTGAAATAGAGCCGTGCACCACATGAGAGGTGCTGTTTGCCTAAAGGATATAAAAGTTCATGTGCTGCTTGTCAACACTAGATTTTTATAAAATCTCTGACATAAAAAGCAGCTCTGTTGACAAGATCACAAATTAATGTATTACAAATGTTTTAAAAAACCAATTTAAAAAAACTGCTCAGAGTCCAAAAAGTCACTGCATATTTGGCAACAAGTCTTTCAAATGAAACAAACTAGCATTTATATATTTAAATAGGTTAACAATGTAACAATGTTGGTTCAAAAATTTAAAAAAAAAAAAAAAAAAGCTTTTATTCTGTAGCCAAGTTTAGACTGGAAAGCCATTTGCTTAATGGTAGGAAAAATGAAATGCTCATATTACTGCAGAAAAACAAACCTTTGTCATGACTATGATTACTTCTTAGTTATAATTAGGGTTCAAAGAAATCAGTGCTACCTTGTTCTCTGTTGACCCTTCCATCAAACCCAAACTCCTCACTCTGCTCTCTAACATAGCAGCCCCCCCCCCATACACAGCACCAGAATCCGTGTTTCCCCTGACCTCAGCTGTTTGTTAAGCACGCACATTAATGTGGCGTCATTCTTCTCTTCACATTCTCACGGTGACTATTCAGCATTTAACAGCCCGATGAGTGCACAATGCCGAGGCCGGGGTGGCATATACACACATAAATCATGTAAACAAGTGCGCATCAGATCTTTAAGAAACCTGATCAGAGAGTCGACTCCTCTGAAGGACACAGAGACCGAGCGTGACAAAACAGTTATTAAACCGAGCGCAAGCGAGACGATCTCTAGACCGAGCAGCAGGGGAAGGGGAGACGTGACCATGAAAGGGTGACAGAGCGAGACGCCAAAATGAAGAAATGCAGAGATGAGAGGATAGAGAAATAGAGGGCCTGAGAGACCTGATGGAGGGTGTAGGAAAAGGAAACGACTGCTCGAAGCAGATAAAGTGATCAGAACGGCCTTCGTGAATGTACAGATACTTAAAGGGTCTTTGTTTTGGGTTTTTTTTTTTTAAAAAAAGGTTTTGAAAAGGCTGTTTATAAAGTGAAGGACTCATGACCTGTATAATGTTAGCAAAGAAGGGTTTTGGGGATCAGAACCAGCACAACTATGGTTTAATCAGAAAAATGGAGGGATGGTAACACTGTGTAAAAGTCTGCCTAAAATTCAGGACTTTATTTTGAATCAGATTTTTCTTTCTTATACTTAAATGACTTTGATACAATGACCTTTACTTTTAAGACCGGACTTCAAACTTGCATTTAGGTTTATTCATGTAATCATCAGGAGGTTTCTTCCTGTTAAAAGGGAGTTTTTCCTTCCCACTGTCACCACGTGCTTGCTTACAGGGAGGTTGTCTGATTGTTGGGGTTTTCTCTCTATTAATGCAGGGTCTCTTCCTTCCAATACAAAGTGCCTTGAAGTGATTGTTGTTTACGCTACATAGATTTTATAAAAATAAAACTGAACTGAATTTTGAAAAGAACAACATCACAACATTATCAGGCTGTAATTTCTTCCTTGCTTTTGGACAGATGGAGCAATTTTTATGTTTTGAGGAAAAATACTAACACTAAACAGAAAAACTGTCAGTTATTATAGACTGTCATTATAAGGTAACTACAGGTAAACACAGCGTTTAAGGAGATAGATTCAATTTTGTCCTTGGTCGCTGAAAACCAGTCGAGGCAGCTGTCTTCTTTAGAAAACAACTGCAAAATGACCTATAAAGGCCAAAATGATGTTCAAAAAGCACAGACTCACCAGCGCCTTCAAAATAAGCACCCATCTTCTTCTCATTTCCTCACAATCCAGCCAGTTATGATAAAGCCGGAAATGGGAAACAGTGGGGCCTTGTAGGAGTCTATTCTTCTGGTATACTGAGCCTCGGGGGACAGAGGAGGGAAATTACCATCAGTGACACCAGTTTGCGGCAGCCGTTTCTATCAGATAAGGCAGAATTGTACATGCCACTCTTAAATCAATCAAGGTCACCTCTTTGCTCCCTTTGCTTCTGTGTTATAGTGGGTTCAGTTCATAGTGGGCACCCCAGCTGTTGCACAGCACGGATGTAAACTTATCAGAACCTGACATACACAGCCAAACAGGGCTTTACCTCTGCTTTTATTTGACTTTTTCAGTTATTACTAGCACTCAGAGCTTTGACCTTGATGTCTGATGCCCTTTTGCTGTTAGTAAGTTGTCCAGCAACACCACCTGCTGGTATAAAAGTATAAATGTATAAATTTTACATAGAAAAGTTTAGCGAAAGCATAAATGTTAACTACAAAACAAAGAGCCCCGATGTACTTTCTAACATTATTAATGTTGATGTGTTCTATACTCGTCAAAAAATAAGTTTTATACTGTGAAATGGATTTTCAGTTTTTCTGCACATTATTTTAACCTTTTGGAAGAACCAAACATATTCTGTGAGTAGTTCTTGGTTCCAGTTGATTGATTTTAATCAGCAGTTGGGGTCACAATTACTTCACTTTACGAGTTCACCGTCTCTGATCTCATATTCCTGGTAGAAAACTGCGATGAGCTGCTTCAACTTGTATTTTATTGCATTCTTGCAGCCGCACCCCTGCCCTGCAGCTGTCTGAGTAGGACTCTAGTGTTCCTTCTTTTTACTATTTAGGCGAGCAGGTCCATGGTCTGGTATCATGCACTATCAACATGTAGGAGTTCCACCAACATTGGGAAAGCTGGTGAGATCAGGTTTAACGTGCAGAAATGATATTTCAAGAGACGCTAATGTAAAGTATCAAATATATATGACTTTATTATGGAAATAAACTATCAAGGAAAAGAGAGATGGTGCTACAGCAGCCATGATCATCCAGTTCTGACGTTTAAAATCCAGGAGAACACCCGCAGGTTTCATGCATTAATTGGTCCTTGCACAAATGATTAAAGAGATTATAATAGTGTTCTCTGAGCACTAATTTGTAACCGTTTTTACCCCCAAAAAACTCTTGTATGTATTTACAATGTATTTAAATATTTCAACTTTAAATCATTGCTCAGTCTTGACAGTAGGTTGTTTCTTGCTTCTTTGTTTCACGTGAATACAGGACGGAGTTGCAATCAAACCTTTTCCCTAAATGAAATCAGAATGTCTCTGAGTATACAAATACTGCATTGTTCAGCTGCTGGACACCAGTGCTCCTTCACTGATAAGCTGAGATTTTTTTTTACCCCTAGTAACACGCCTTACTAGGGCGTGTTACTTAAAGAACAGAAAAGTGAGCTCTGAATTCAGACTCTGTGCCCAACCTTATTATGGACAAAGTAAGAAAAGTTCAAAGTAATAAAACAAAATACTGCAGTAGAGGAAACCCTCTGTAAAAACTGTAGTTGCATAAAAGTTTAAAGCTGATTTCTTTCACTCAAATAATAATATACAATCACCGGACATTTTATTAGGTACATCTGTCTAACAGCTTATTGATGCATGGGATAATGCCTCGTTAGGAATGCAGACACGGTCGAGACGACCTGCTTCTCAAACTGAGTATCGGAATGTGGAAGAAAGGCGATTTTATGTGACTTCGAACATGGCATGGTTGTTGGTGCCAGATAGGTTAGCCTGAGCATTTCAGAAACTGCTGATCTTCTGGGATTTTCCCACACAATTATCTCTAAGGTTTGCAGAGAATGATCTGAAAAAGAGGAAATATCCCATGAGCAGCAGTTACTCTGGGGGAAAATTTCCTGTTGATACTGGAGGTCAGAGGTCAACTCATTACCACAAGGTATGCAGAAGAACATCTCTGAACAAATGAGGCATCAAATTTTGAAACAGAAGCAGCAGCAGAAGCCCACACCGGGTGCTCCTCCTCTCAGCTAAGAATAGGAAACTAAGGGTACCATTCGAATAAGGTCACCAGAGTTGGACAATAGAAGATTATAAAAGTTTTGCCTGGTCTGCCAAGGCTCAGTTTCTGCTGTGAAACTGGGATGGTACAGTCAGAATTTAGTGTAAACAACATGTAAACATGGATCCATCCTGCCTTGTATGAACGGCTCATGCTGGTGGTGATGATATAGTGGTGTGAGGGATTTTCTCTTAGCACATTTTGGGCACCGTAGCCTACCTGAGTATTGTTGCTGAACATAGCTATCCCTTTATGACAACAGTGTATTCATATTCTGATAGATGCTTTCATATCCCAAAGCTCAAATTGTCTCAAATTAGTTTTTTGAACATGACAGTGCACTCAAACGGCCTCCACAGTCACCAGATCTCAATCCAAAAGAGCACCATTAGGATGTGGTGATATCAGAGGCTTGCACCATGAATGTGCAGCTGACAAATCGGCAGCAACGGCGTGATGTTATCAAGTCAGTGTGGACCAAAATGTCTGAGGAAAGTTTCCTGCACTTTGTTGAATCTATGCCACAAAGAATTAGGGCAGAAGAGGGTCCAGCCAGGTACTAACCAGGTGTACCTAATAAAGTGTCTTAGTGTATCTTGATACATTCACCATTAATTCAGCCATTAATTAGCTACTAGTTTCAAAAGTGCCTAAGTCTTATAGCTGAACAGGCTCAGAGCAGCTCTGACCCCTCCACCCAGCGTAACACCTGCACTGAAACTCAGACTCCATTAGCTTTACATGACGTGGCTGCAAATGTCCTAAAACTCTGTATTTCCTCCATCCATTTGGTTTCCTCTTGGACACCACCTTCCACGATGCAGGGTCAAGGTGGAGGTAGGCCTTCGACTGTGGATCCTTCCTCTGACACCGTCCATGAGAGGAACACATGGTCTGACTGCAAAGCGTAGCCGCTGATGTCACGTTTACCAGGTAAGGACCCAGAGTGTTATCGATGTAGGACTTGACGGCAGCACAGGTAGCCTGAAAGCAGGAAAGAAACAGGATATGATAAACCAGGGATGTGCAGAAGAATGCCCAATAAAAGCTTTAATGCAACTTTACATAACAGAATCTTTAAGCTATATGCATGCTCAGGTAACAGCATGAATATGTTATTTAGTGTAAAGCTATTACAAAATGAACAAAGACGTATTTCAGAGCAGATAACATGTCCTGTTTTACTCAGCATGAAAAAAAATACATTAAGACTGTTAAAGATATTATCAGTGGTCAAAGCAAAAGGTGCTGAGAAAAGCGCCACTCTAGCATCATCGTCAATAGACTGTTAAAAACACAATGTGCCACCTTGTTTTTTACCCGGTGATGCTCATGAACACATAAACAAGCGCTCTGGCTTCTTTTGACTCAGTCCCATATACAAAAGTCCTGTTGTTTAAACCACTTTAATCTGCAGCTGAAAACAAAAATCTCCAGTAAATGCTTCATTTACTCCCATCTGAGTAATGTTTGCCAAATATCAGTGTCCAGCTGTGCAGAGAGCTCGTTTTATAAAATGAAACCACATATTTGTGACGGGATGTACAGTCACGTTAAAAAAGAAAGTACGCCCTCTGACATTTCTGAGGTTTCTAAATATCAGGATAGGATAAAAGCATTATCTAGACATTAATAGATCTTAAAAATCACATCACTACAACCTTGGATGAAAAACAACATCTGACATATTGCACCATGTTGTTTATTTAACAAAAACTAAAGCGAAATGCAGAAGACACGTGTGAAAAGCTAAGTGCACCCCACGATTCAGCTGCTTGGAGAACCACTTTTAACAGCAGTAGCTCGAAGTAATAGCTTTCTGTATGACTTTAGCAGCCTCTCACATGGTTCTGGAGGAATTTTGGCCCACTCTTCTTTACAATGTTGCCTTAGTTCAATGTGGTTTGCGGGCACTTGTTTACAGCTCTCTTAATTCACATTGCAACACCTTAATTCTTTTCTTTTTCAGCCACTCTGTAGCAGATTGCTGCCTTGCTGGGAATCATTGCCCTGTTGCATGACCCAGTTTCAACTAAGTTTTAGACGCTAGAATATTTTGGTGTGAAGAGGAGTTCGTGATCAACTCAGTGACTGCAAGGTGTCAAATCACCCCTCTACCACTGTGCCTGACAGCTGGTGTGAGGTATTTGTGCTGATATGCAGTGTGTGGTTTTAACAATCTGTCAAGGACGTTGTTCCAGAACATGCCGAAACAGCTTTGTTTGTATGACTTTAGCAGTCTCTCACATGGTTCTGGAGGAATTTTGGCCCACTCTTCTTTACAATGTTGCTTCAGTTCAACGTGGTTTGCGGACACATGCCGAACATGCCGAAACATTCTTTCAGACAGAGAACAGGTACTCCTAGCAACCCTTTCAAACAACCATACTTGTTCAGTCTTTTTCTAATTGCACAGTCATAAACTTGAACATTTAATAAGCTGATGGAAGCCCGTGAAGTCTGAAATGAAGCTCAGGTTTTTTTATTGCGATTTCTCTCATCAGCATTGCACAGTCTGACCTCTGGGTCTTGCTCCAGACCATTAAATTGGTAAAACTTCTGCTTTCACACAGGTGCTCACGCTTGCTGATGATCAGTGTTGGGGAGTAACGGAATACATGTACCGCCGTTACGTATTTTAAATTCAAAATATGAGTAACTGTATTCCGTTACAGTTACAAGGGTGGTATTCAGAATACAGTTACTTTGTTGAAATAAATGGATTACACGGCGGTCTTTTCCTGTTTCATATATTAGGCTATGCTCTCTCTATTTTTGGTAATTCCACACCGGAGGAAACCTAAACAACACGCGTAGCCTATTAAGAGGCTCTTATGCCTGTGTGTCAATCTGGCGGCCCATGTCACCTCTATTTGCGGCCCACATAATGACGTGAAGAATTATTTTACAAAAATTATTCACAAAAATGATTTAATATGAAGGCAATAGCAGAGTGTTACAGGCATTGCCCTAAAGAATGTATCCTCATGGGCAGTATAGTCCGTGCTGCAGGGAGAATGGACTGCCATACCCGTTATGTATCTGTGAGTGCGAGGAGGGAGAAAAAGGATAGTCGAAAAGTACGAGTTGTCACTGAGCAGAAACGGGAGCTGGAAGCATGTAAATATAATAATAACCACTACAGCCAAAAAGAGTGCCTGACGAGCCCAGTTGTAAGTAAGCTATTAAGACTCAATTGTACGCTGTGTTCGTGTTTTCCTCCGAAACAATAAGTTCCTTTGGAGCAGCCTTTCAACGCCTCTCTCTGTCTCTCGCTAGCAAAGTTGACCCAGACAACAAAGTAAAGCGAGTTTTCGTCTATGAGCCCAAAATATATAATATATATATATATATACGTGTGGAATAGTTTTCTATACAAGATCGCTGCAAAAAGTGCAGCCTTACCCTAATGTCCACCCCACTGTTACTCATTGTATATTAAGATTTAAAAATCTTGTTGGTATTGGTATGGCGAGTAGTCTTCAGTAATAGTAATAAATCACACAACAATACATTCATGTAGTTGTAAAAAAAAAAAAGCATGATAATATATCAAGTAATCCAAAGTATTCAGAATATGTTACATTGAGTAACGTAACGGAATACGTTACAAAATACATTTTGGGGCATGTAATCTGTAATCTGTAGTGGAATACATTTTAAAAGTAACCTTCCCAACTCTGCTGATGATCAGCTAATCAAGTGTAAGTTTATTCTCCATCTCAATTTCTTAGGTAGCAGTAAGGATATTTTGTATTTTTCCACACACTGCTTCTGCATTTTGGATTAGTTTTTGTTAAATAAATAATGACCTGGTGCAGTATATCATATCTTGTTTTCCATCTGAGGTTGTATTCACTTAACTTTAAGACTTGCTAAGAGCGGGATGATTTGAATATGTCCTGAAACTTAAATCCTTATGATTGAAAAAGGGTGTACTGTCTTTTTTACCAGTACTGTGTGTGTTCAGCAGGATTGAGAGGCCTTGTTGCGGAGAGGTAACAAATGAAATATACAGTGGAGTGATTCCAAACAGACCTTAAAACTAAAGAGCTTGAGTATAAAATAAGGCAGTTTTAAAGTAAGTTTTTTCTTTTTCATTTCAGTAATTTTTGTGCAATACAGTTTCCTGTGTGTAACTTTCAACATTTTTTAAAAGTGTAACTTATAAAACAAAAACCCTTATAGGCATCAGTGAGAAATGTAACATCCTCACTTTCACTATTACAGCCAATTACATCAAATGGACAAGTCAGTTATTGTACCTGAGTTTTGGAAAGAGCGTAGTCACCCCAAAGAACTACACCAGCAGAGCCTAAAGCGGCACTCTCTCCAATAGTGTAGACCAGGTGCTCCTGTTAGACAGAAACAGAGAAGTGAGCAAAACACGCAGCCCCTGTCACGACAGACACAAAATGTTTGAGTTGAAACGTCTGATTCTTGCCTGAGAGAGAAATTCCAGCGTGTATGTATAGACGATGCGAGCATAGGCGTACACGGGCGGTGCGAACGGAGTCACCTGATCCGCTACTCTCATTGCCTCCAGGATGCGGTGGTGGCAGTAGAGGAGCACTTCTCTGCTGAGACCTTGCATCTGGACGCTGAGATAGATGTCGGGATACAGAGCAGAGGAGGTGCTCCACAGCCAGAGAAGCCTGTCATTTCTCTTTAACTCCACAGCTGGACACTCCCCTGTGTAGCCTGTGCTTTTGTTGCTGTAGTAGTTGTAGCAGTTTGGAAAACCATAATAGCCCCACAAACCATCTGGTCTTGCCGCCTGCCCCAGTTTCAGAGTTTCCTCCATGAAATTCCTCGCAGCTTTGCTAAACTCCATGCGTGCTGCGTCATCTACTTGTTTGGGGCTCCAGTCTGGATGCTTAGACCTCACTAGTGCTTTTGACCCGTTCTGGTATATCTTCTTAGTGTCCCAGTTTCTCTCCCATTCAGGTCTCCAACTTTCCCAATCCACCACACCCAGGCCTGGGAAACCCGTGTCAGGGATATAGGTGTTTACATTCTCACTGGCAACTTTGAGATGTTTATCAAGGCTGCTGTTTTGTGGAACCCCGCCATTAATAGCCTCTCCCTGAGGGGAATACCTTGGATACAGACCAAGCTTATCATCATAAAAGATGGTTATGTTCTGACCCATAAAGGTTTGATTCTGGTTGTGGACAATGTTAAACATCCCCAGGTCAAGGTTAACGCCATACTGAGAGAGGCATTTGGCAGTTGGGGCGTTCCACACAGTCAGGAAAGGCACTTTGGAAAAAGGTGAATTTGGATAATGCAGCCCTGAGACGAGGCTGATCAGAATTAAGTGCAGCAGCACCGCGGGCTTCAAGGACCTCATCCCTGGCAGGAAGGAAACAGTGTTTATTGTGTTACCCAGCAGTATTATGAAATTTTAAGAGCATATTGCAAAATGTTGCTACTTGTTTAAACAAAGCTTTTTCAGTTGTAAGGCAAATCAAATCAATAAGAGTTTTAAGAGTTTCTACTGTTTACGAGCCAGGAATTTTAAATGTGTCTATTTACTACTTGTTTCTTTAATACTTTTCAAACACCTTTAACACGCCAAAATCCATCTGATCATTACAGATGTTGTGTAATGCAGTTAACTTGGCTAGAAATAACAAGCTCCAGTGTCAAAATAATGTGTGAAATTAACTAACATTAAGCTTGCAAACACTGACTTACCGACTTTATAAGTAGAGAAGGATTGGAGCTTGTGGCCTTGTGAAATACCCACAAGTCTCATGATCTGAAACACATATTCAGGAAAAATGGGAAGTAACAAACGCTGAACCAATTAGAAGTGTCCACAGGACCTCCAACAACCAATAACAAGAGACATGCAAATCATTCTATGGAGAACACAGATTTAAAGTCACAGGCAAGTTAGCACTTCCTCCCATCACACTGTACAGCTTGAAAACAGTTTTCAGATTGTTTGAATTTAAAAAAATATAAATATAACAATCAACAGTTTATTGGGGGACATAAGAAAGCTTGACGTTTTCTGAAAAACCACCAAGCGAAGCCATAATGAACTCTTCCACCTTGCAATTTAAATGCGTGCTTTGCTCAACTCTTAAAAGCATATAAAAATAACCAGTGGTTAACGAAAACCTACAATTACATGGGGAAGGGGGTATGAGGGTGCTGCTGGCAAAATGAGTCAATCCCTGAGAACTAGCTGGCTCGGACTCCCCTGGCCACAGAGGCTTCCCGCAGAGGCTTCACTCTCAACTGCTGACAACAAAATCATGTCTGTATTACTCCCAAAACCATATCTCAGCTATATTATCTCCTTATGTACTTACAAAAAAAAAAAAAGCATCACACTTACTTTACTAAAAATACACACAAAGCACCATAAAGCAGATTATTTATCCAAAACTGGCTGGCACAGCGGTTAGCACCATGGCCTCACAACAGGAAGGTTCTGGGTTTGAACTTGCACGTTGGCTGGAGCGTTCCAATTTCCTCCCACAGTCCAAACACATTCATCTTAGGCTGATTGGAGATGCTATATTTGTCTGAGCCTGAATGGCTTTTCCGCACAAACTTTCTCACTAAACCGCCTGCGCAAAACCTGAACCTCCCCATAAACCACTAATACACCTGAGTTCTACCTCCTGTGTCAGTTGTGACCATGGCCCCTCACCCAGTGTCGCTTAGGCAGCCTTAAATTAAAACACAACAACCTCAACAAAGAAGTTTATTTACACCGACAAATGCCATTTTTGTATGAGAGACATCAATATGAGAAACACTGTGCTTCTGGAGTCAAAAGGCCACTGAAACATGAGGCTCGTAGAGTGGAGATGTGTCACCCTTTTAAAAAAGTAGTAGTCATGTTTTGGACAATAATATCGTATAAAAAATACATTCAAATAAATAATAACACTGCGAATGCCTCTATAAACACATCAGATGTCAGAAAGAGGCCACATTTAAAGAAAATTTAAAAGAAATTAGGCACTTCAAATATATTGTGCTGTTGTCAGATTTAAGTGAATCGTTTTCCACTTTCACCACATACATTTACTCATTCGCAGCATTTACCACAGAAGCATCCTCTCTACAAGAAGCATGGACACCTTGGCAAGCGGCGAGTGAGAGGACAATGTAAACAGGGTCATTTCCAGCAAGTTTTTTTCTTTTTTTAAATGATTAAAAGTTAGAAACAAACACTACCTTGGAATTTCCACAGCGGTTCTTACGATATACAGCAACAGAAAAAAACCACACACGCCTATCTTCCCTTCACCTCTCCTCTTGTGCTCTTCTTTTAGACTTTTACAGTTACATAATGGGTATTAACAGATGAGCAGGCAGACAATCAGTAAGATCAAACACTGCAGAGCCACTGCTGTGGCTCGAGTCGCCGTCCCTTTTTGGTGTAGCGGGTCTGTTTGATCGCAGAGCTCCCCCTGATACCCGCTGTAACACTGACACTGAAAGTCTGCTTCAAAACTTAACCCGTCTGCTTTGCCGAGCTCACCGGTGACCGTCAGCTTGCCGTTCTTCTTGACGATGCCATGGGTGAGGGGATTCAGATGCAAGTAAACGTCGCTGTTTGAGTTTCTGCGCAGACATCGCCCGTGAGAGCCGCAAAGGGTCTGGCTGCATAGCTCTGCTGCCGTGGAAACGTTCAGGAGGTACTGACTCAGTGTGCCCCGCAGATATTTATCCAGATCAGAGCAGGTGGTCTATGGGAAAAAATAAGTGGATACATGAAATCTTCAAGTACTGCACAATTAATCTGAAAAATATGAAGTAACTAAAGCTCTGGTATGGAGTACAAATTGCTATAAATACACTTTGTAAGTAAGTGAGTAAAGGCTGTTTATTAATCGGCATGCTCTCAGAAGTTTAGATGATAACATCTGTGGTTAAAAATAAATGTGACGTATCCAAGTGATGTGTTTAATTTCACAATCATTGTGTGCATGCTTACTTTGTTGTGTGCACAAGTTTATTTATGAAGCGTATTTCACAGACAGATGTCACAAAGCGCTGTTACACAACAAAGAGTAAAATAAATAAGAAAATTAAGTGTCATAATAGCCCATAAAAATGGGTATTTTATAATAAAAGCGTAATAACAATAATAATTATAAATGTAGTGCCACAGAGTGAACGGCTCTCTTCTACCTGGTCTTTAGTCACGTACGCGGAACAACAGATTCTGAGCTTGTGAATGAAGACAGCGAGCAGCTGGGATAACTAAAGTGCTCTGTATGCAAATGCCAGAATCCTAAATCTATTGGGAGCCAGTGTAAAGAGTATAAAATAGGAGTGATCCAAGCATCAATAGTCTGGAATATGCGTTTTTATAGCTTGGAGGCGTGAAAGAGATTATTTATCCAAGCTGGTTAAGCGTAATGGAGTAAAAGCAGGAAGCTGTGTGGAAATACTTAAAGTACAAATACATTCATTCTGAATAAAGTACCTGAGTAAATGTATTCAGTTACATTCCTACTGATCCTACCCATGCTCTCATCCAGTGGTGCTGGGGACTGCTAGATTAACAGTCACTCTAATCCACGGATGTCAAAATGATTTTACATTGAACAGTCCACTTTGATCTTAAGTGGGTTGGACCAATGAAGCTCCTCTATATCGGTGTGTGAAGAACTTTACCTACACATTTAATCCCTGAGATATTTTAATATAAGGAAAACAAGTATTTTTTCCAACAAAGATCTAAGATTTTTTTTTTTGCATAATATAGAAGTGCTGTTTTGACTTAAATTGAAAGAAATAAACATGTAAAATTACAGAAAAAGTTTTGTTAGCTCACTGTGCAGAAATTAAATTGTCTTGTTGAAGTCTCTTTATGCTTGGGCCTTTTGCACTTCAAATCGTTACAAAGGTCTAGTTTTGCGTGTCTGTTGTTATATTATGACATGATTTGAGCCTTTTCAAATGTATCCTTGTCCAATACGTTTGAAAACTAAACTTTGAAAAAAATAAATAAACAGGTCAACTGCTGCAGTTGCAAAACATCCCTTTTTTAATGATGATTTCAAGATTTTGGATTTAATGGCCCAAAATGGAATCGATGTCAAAGTCCCAGTCAGCATATATGTGACAATCAGCACCTGATCATGTGGCCTAAGACATTAAGTGTAAACCCTGAACTTTGAGAAATATCTCCTAGTATGAAATGCCTTCGCATATCACAGACGAGAAGAGCAGCTCAAAAGTTAAGATGATAACATCTGTTCCAAAAAAATGCATACACCATATCTGAGTGATTGATGTGTTCGTTTCGCAATTGATGTGTGGACGCTTACTTTGTTGTGTGCATAGGCAATATCTCCCCACATGATTATTCCAGCTGCTCCCAGGGCCACACTCTCCCCGATTGTGGACACAAGGTCAGTCTGCAAAAAATTACAGGTCAAACAAAAGGAAAACAGTCAGCTAAGTAAGTGTCAGAGGTTCATAGGCTACTGTATGTGAAGTAGAGGGCCAGCTCTTCTGTTCTCATTCTCCCATAAGCAAATAAGGGTGTTTAGAGTGACTTTTAACTTGACCAACACCCATCCTGCCTACTCTGCACAAATGAAAGGTATTGGGGTGTCTGAATGCCAGCAGCACAGGAAGGGACTGTAGCAGCAGATAAGAGATGAATCTACAGAGCATGCATTAACATTAGTGCTCAGTGACGGTTCTATATGTCAGGCTTTTACTAAGAATTAGCAGGAAAAAGATAGAAGAAATGTTTCGGAATATAGTCAGTAACATGGCTGGTTCAAAACTTCATTAGTGTCTTAAAGGAAAAAGCAGGAAAAAAGTTCCAGGAAGAGGAACCAAATTCAACACTGGCACTGTTTCCAAAGTTAGACTGTCACCTCGGTCAGCTGCTCCAGGGAGTTCATGTATGTGGGCCGCGTGTACACAAAGACAGGACGTGCCAAGCCATCGCCCGATGAGGCCAAACGCATCCCCTCTTTTACGCGGTTCCGCACAAACTGGCGTCCGGCAGCGGATGAGCGCAGCAAGCTGCTCACGTAGATGGAAGGGAAGAGGGCTGTGCTCTCAGTCCACAACCATTTCAGCTGGTCATTGCGAGACACCTCCACATCAGGACAGCGGCCCGTGTAGCTCTCCAGAGTGCGCACGTAGTTGTGGTTGTAGCAGTCAGGAAACAGGTAGAAACCCCACAGCTGGTTGGGCCTCAGGTTCTTAGCTTGCTTCAGTGTGTCTAACATGAACAGCCTGGCAGATATCTCAAACTCCTGCTGGGCCACTTTTTTCACCTGATCAGGAAGCCAGGTTGGGTTCTTCTGCCGCACCAACTCCTCAGAATGTCTGCGGTAAATATCTTTGGCTTCCCAGTTACGTATCCAGAGGGGACGCCAATCCTCCCAGTCGATAACAGCTAAACCAGTGGCCCATTCTGAACGTATGTACTTCTTAACATCTTCTGGCATTTTCTCCAGGTGCCGTGTGCGACTGGCCACCTGCGGAAGTCCCTCATTCACCGCCGTTTCATCTTGTTCAAAATAGGGGTACAAGCCCAAGCGCTCCTTGTAGAAGATGGTCAGATTCTGATTAACAAAGCCCTCATTGGGTGTAGCCACAATCTGGAACTGGTCCAGCTGGAAATGAATTTTATGCCGCGGGGCACAATCTTCAATCGGGGCGTTCCAAGCAAGGAGCAGAGGCTTTCGGGAATACAGTGGCCATCTCGTGGGCTGCAGTCCCAGAGCAAAGAGGCAGCCCCACAGCGGGACAATCAGCAGCAGAGCTTTCCAAGCTGACAAAGTCCCGTGCAACATGTCTTCAGATGTGGATGGACAAAAAGGACTGCCACACTCTGCTCTACAATCCACAGGAGGGAATGACATGTTAGTTTCCTGAATGCACATTTAATAAGGTGTTTTCTCTTAAACAAACCTTAAACATGTTTCCATTTTATTTATTCAAAACCAACTTTATAATTACATGGACATAAAGCACAAGCTTCTCTTTTGTGACATTGCCACTGCAGATTAATTTACATAAATGTCTGCAGACTATTAATGTTTTCTTAAAAACAAGAAAATAAATAAAAGAAAGTAAAAGAAAAATGGTAATACAATTTTTATCCAAAAAAAAGGCTTCTTTAAACTGGATTCTACATCTAGCAAGCTGTTAACATAAATTGCCTTCAATTTAATTACTGTTTGCAGCTCTTTTATTAGCAAAGTTAATCAACTTCGGCTTCCCTACAGATGGATACACTTACCTTTACTGGCAGGCTGGGGAAGCATTCCCCCGAAGACAGAAGCCTACAACTTCACTCCGCGTTTTGGCGTTGCTTTAAAAACAAATAGGAAAAGAAAATTCAGTATAAAGAAAAAGACGACGGGGTAACTTTACAGGAGCACATGCAGCTGTGCTGTGTCTTATAACCTCAGCTCTCCGGCTCCTTGCGGTATGTAAAACTCACAGAAGTCAACTTACCCCCTGCGATGTTGTCAGTTGCAACTCGTTCAGTCCCGAGTGCCAAACCACTCTCGGGATGGGACGTTCCATTCGGTCTGAGGAAAAAGGGGGGGCCGGAGAAAGGAAATGGACATCCTTAAAAAGAATCTGTCAGCGGCTCTAATTTGTTTCTTCACGTCACTACTTCAAACTGCTTCGAGTATCAGCTTAGCGAGACGTGCTTTGATGGCGTCCTGTTTTTCTTTTTCCTCAAGGCTAACCCTCGTGTCCCGGCTCAGCGCCTGAATGGGTCGGTCCGAGAAAGTTCGCCTCCACTCTCCGTGAAACAGATACACTGTAACCAGGGATGCCAAGATCTACAAAAGGTCACAGCAGGGCACTGTACCACGTCCCTAAATATTAAAATATAAGACCATGCTTACAACTCACCTTTCAGCTGCATGACAATCGTGTTAAGGATATTGAGAAATCTGATGGAGGTGATTTTTATTTAGTTTTTTTAAGTGAATTTTCCACCTTAAAAGGCCTAAAATTGCATATTATTGTGTGTTGTGTTACTGTCTATAACACAACAAACTTAATTTCTATCGTAAATAAGGCTCAGAAAACATTCTCAGTTATAGGTTACAAACAGGACCTCTGCGCCAACCCACAGTATGGATGTTATCTGAGCAGATGTGCTCACTAGGTGAACTTGACAACAATAACAAAAGTATAGGCCAACATTGTTCCAGCATGGAAAGAGGCTTGTTGGTAAAGTACCATCTTGAAGGAAATAGTAATTTTTTCATAGCCTTTACACTTCCCACGAACCTAAAAACAGACCTCAGACCTAAAAACAGGGGCAGGAAAACCCCTTTGACTCATACCTGCCGACTACATTCAGTAATTCATTGAGATCACTTTAATAGCTTAAATAAAAGAGCAGATATAGCATCTGGGTTTTTTTTATTATTTTTTAAATATTCAAATCTTTTGCTTAAGGTGGTAATACTGTAGAAACACCCAAAGCTGTTCAGTCATAACTGCTCTATACTGTACACAGTAAAATGTACCAAGAGAATGATATAATGATATCACTAAATCTCTTTGAGCGCTCAGTAAGACTGGAAATGTGCTAAGTACACCAAAGAATCCAGTAGCCTGTAGAGCCACCTGTAGCAGCAGTGACGTGAAGTGTTTTCTGTTTGACTTTATCAGTCTCTCTATTCTCCGTGGAGGAATTTCGACCCACTCTGCTCTACAATGTTCCTTCTGTTTGTTGATGTTTCCAGAGATTCATTTTTGCACAACTCTCTTGAGGTCCAGCCACAGCATTTCAGGCAGATAAACAGCTGGATTTTGACGATTGCAACACCTTGATTCTTTTCTTTTTCAGGCATTCTGGTAGAGTTCCTGCTGTGTGTGGGATCATCATCCTGTTGCATGACCCAGTTTCAGCCAAATTTTAGCTGTTGGACTCACATTTGACTCTAGAGTACTTTGGTATACAGAATAGTTCATGGTCGACTCAACGACTGCAAAGTCTCCTGTGCCTGCAAAACAAGCCCCAATTATCACCCCGGCACCACCGTGCTGACAGTTGGTATGAGGTGTTTGTGCTCATATGAAGGTCGTCCATAAGTTCAGTACGGAATATCTGTAATCATTCATCTGCCTCCTTTTCTGAGTGTTTGGCCGCTTCTGGTCTGTACTTCATAACCACTTTCTCACATTGCCAAACTCATTTCTGTTATCATTACTCGATTCCAATCATCTTCTGGCCCCCCTTCTTTGACCCAATCAGCTTCCAATCTGCATGTTTTAAATATGTGCTCTCCATTATTCTCCCTTTCCAATTCTCATTCATGCATTCATACCTCCTCCCCATCTCCACCTCAGGCTCTGGGGAATCCTGTCCTCAATCCTGTCACCTCTGGGAATCCATCCTGCCATGATGGGTCATTGAAGTCTAACTGCCAAATTAATTAATTTCTCTATCTCAATAAATCATGTTTGGTTCTTCCAAATGATCTCTCCTCTTTGAAATGCTATGGTGACCTGCTGGCATGCTTTGGTTTTTGTCAAACAGCACTCATTATGGCCAGACATCTTCACTTTGATATCATATGCCCAAAGGACACAAAGGACACAGCATGTCCAAGTCTTGTGATTTGAATCCTTCTAAACAAGCCATACTTGTTCAGTCTTTTTCTTTTTTTTTCTTTTTATTTGACTGGTGAAAAATTATTATCTCAAGTCTTTTGGTTGCTGGTACTTAAGTATTTTAAAGTTTCCTTCCACTCATGCAGACTTGAATGTCTTGAACACACTTCAGAAAGCAGGCAAGAGGCATCTGGCACACAGATTTCACTGCCGCCTGGAGCATGTGATGACAGCCACTGGCGAGGGCTTGACAGAGGAACCAAGTACCACATACTGTCATGTTGCCAAGCACAGTAGATATGGCAGTGGAGAGGAGATAGTAGAGGCCATGTACCAACACGTAATTAACTAAATTTAACAACCTGGAATGATTTGGAAAAATTGGGGAATCCATATGTGCGCTGTAGTTGAAGGTGATTTTCTAATAACTGGTACAACTTTTGCTTACGTCTGTACTCAATGAGTAAGATCTGAAACAAAAAGGTAACATTTTCCCCAGGAGATACATGTTAACTAAAAGATCCCTGAGCACATGACTAGGAAGAGGTGGGGGAGCCTGGAAATTCTCTGGCTTCCTGTACCAAAATCCATTCCGCTTATTTTGCTTTTGAACTTTGCTGACTCACCTCACCATGTCATCAGCTTCTCTCTAGGGCTCTGCAGAGTAAGGAAAAAGTGGACCACGGACAGACCCGTGTGAATGAACAGGGAGGGAAAGGAACAAAGGAATGGCTTCATTTCCGTCGACTCTCGGCTTCCCTTTGACCTCTGCCTCCTGAACATTACATCAACTGCAGTCAGGGATTGTCAGGAAGCTAAAACAATGGCAGGGAAACTGCCAACACACCCTACTATCTTCACTTTTTGTCCCAAACACTTTATGAATTGCGATACATTTGGGGTAATCCTCTGACTTGGTAAATTTGAACTGAGGAATTATAAATGGTTGTAACATCCAAACATCCAGTTTATATAAGAATACAACAAAACCCACATTTAAAGGCACATAATGCAAACAAAGTCTGAAACTGAGGAGCACATATCCCAAAACGTTGATACGGACGTAACATTTTGAGTGGGGGAAAAATTTCATCACTCATCAAAATGAATTCTTCAGTCTCTGAGGAGTGCATACATTACATCATTTGTAACTATAACCTTATTTTGTGGCTTTACTAGAAAAAATAGGAGATTACCACCAAGTTTCCTCAACTTATTTGTAATGACTACATATGATCTCACTGTAACACAGTCAAATGTAACAGAATCCATGTGAGAACTAGCACAAAAATGGCTACAGTAAGCGCCTTTGTTTTACTTTAAAGCACTACAGCTTGTTAAATTACTCCCATGTAAACAATATATCTATTTTACTGTTCATAATTCAAAGTATGGTTTAGTTCTATTTCAAGGCTGCTGATAATTTATAGTGACTGCCTCTCTCAGCCTCAGCCCCATGGACAACTTTTCCCCGTATAAACACACCGCATACATCAGGGAGCACATTACGCAGATCAGAGCGCTGCTATTTGGTGTCATATTCATGAACTTAGTGCATTTTTTATGACTTTACAGGAAAGCGTTCATCCTTTAAGCGAAACATCAAAGACCAATGGAGAGGAAACACATCAAAGGGGCTGACCTTTGGCCTCGAAACGCTCCGACCGCATTCCACACAATTACAGACACCAGAGAATGCCTGCAAAGGAAGCCCTACCCATTTATTGTGGGGATTTGTCATCTGAGCGCAGTGAAATATGTTTACATCGCCATTAAAAGTTGATACTACGCCAGCTGGCAACAACAACCAAAACCTGTCACGATCTGAGGCTGAGCTTTTAATTTCATCCTTATCTATTTGGGAAAGCAAACTCCACACAAATAAGTAAATATGAATGATTTAAAAAAGTTAAAGCAGGTATAGCTTTCTGCTGCCATCTAGAGGAAATGTGGCTTTTACATTGCAGATGTCTTGAGTTTAGATTTTATTTTATTTTTATAAAAATGGGAGAAAAAAATTGATTTTGATTGAGTATGATTTTCACCGGCAGCCTCAAAGCACGGCCAGACAGAAATTCAAGAAGGTGACGAGGAAAATCTAAATATAAGCCAGAGTCTGGAGATGGCAGGGTTACGCTTACAGCTGTTTCACAAGTACAGGGATCACTGACCCCACATTCAAAAGTCACCATTTGGTTGAATGCAATCTGCACTTCACTTAATATTTTCTGAATAGTTAGCAACTTAAAAGATTTCTTGTCTACTTCCTCTTCAGCTAAAAATAAAAATTGCTGTTAGCTTTCTAAAGTTCACAGAAATAGCTTGACATTTTAGTTTTACTTGTTTTCTTAGAAAAGAGAAGCACTTCCGGTTCTGTGTCCACAGACACCAAAAAAAAAAAAAAGTGTTTTTACTGTAGTACAAAACACAAGGTGTTTCCTATTTCACAGACGCCAACAAGTCTCAAGTTACCACATTACACTCATGTAAGCCATGTAAGAATCATGACTGGCTACCAGAATACTAAAGTAACAAAATCTTCCTTGTACAGTAGTGTGAAAAAAATTGTTGTCAGGCCTCATTTCTTCATATTTTACACCAATCGACCAGACATTTCTGTATTTTTTTTTTCTTCACGTGGTCTAGAACAACAGCTCTCCAGGTTTTTCTGTAGGCCTTTCAACTTCATCTATAAGATACAGTAGAGGCTTTGTCATGATTTTTTGCTTCATTTAAGCCAGTTGTGTTGGGGATCTTCGTCAAAACTGATGGAAGTGAATACATATGATTTTGATCCACCATGCAAAATAATATGGAAAGCATTTGATTGACAAAGGCTTCATTTCTCAGGATGACAATGACCTGCCATAACACCTGGAAAGTAAAACATACAGTGGAAGTCTCAACCATGGATTGGACCTCAACATTAATAAACCAGTGTGGGATCATATCAACAGAGAACAAAAGGGAGCCAGAAACCAAAACTCTGAAAGTCCTTCAAAAAACCTGGAGAACTATTCCTGAAGAATAAAGCTTGAATGCAGAAGTTCAGGCCATGTGGAAAAATAAAGGTAGTCATAACAAATCTTGATTTTCAAGCTTGTAAAACTGTGGAAAAACTGTTTTTGACCTCATATGTTGTGTTTCCATCTACATCTGCAAATTTCAATAAATCACTGCACCGATTTCCCATTTTCCCAGCAAAATACAAAGAAAGGAAGGGTGACTAAAGACTTTTTGCACACTAGTGTAAATCCAGGACCTAAACTCAGATGTAAGGGGAAGAACTTCACTTCCTAATATGATAAATGAGAACACGGTCTTCCGGTGTCTAACTTATTATTCTGCACTGTAAGGTCAAACATCCCAGTGCAGTAACAATAAACAAGATGAACTGCACCAGAAAGCTTCAGCCAATATGAAAAATAACAGAAAAAAAGAAGATTTGAGTGATTTTGCTCAATAAACCATTTATTCAAGTATTTTCAACTAAGAAATCTGATGTTATTTACAGTACATTATGTTCACTAGTGCAGGTCTGAGCGCCGATAACTGAGACTAACTCAGACGTGACAATACAGAACATAAATATATACAACAAATTCCATAATCCCTCATCATTCCCACCCTGCAAATACATCTTGCATTTGTAGTTCACACATGAACCCAAAACTAGCACATGTACAAAGACACATACAGAGTCTACATCTCACAGAAGGCATGAACCATTAAACCCTTTTCACGTCACAGATGTTTTGCCCTGCAAAATTAAAAAAAAAAAAAAAAAAACAACAGGAGAAACACGAATTCATCCGAAGTATTCTCCAAGTCTGCATACATATCAGCTGGGTAGTGGAAACACAACTTGTACCATCACTATTTTTGTGAATGTCAAAATAAAGACTCGTTGAATTCAAATGTATAACATTTAATTCAATATATCATTTTTCATGTGACAGTTTGAATTTTCCTTTTTCCTCTGCAAGCGCCATTCGCCAGGTCTTGACTGCAGCTCTCGGGACTTGAATGATGCTCAGCAAAGAGGATCTGTGGCTGCACATCATTGTAGACCAGTCACTGTGCAACGTGTCACACCTCACAGAGGACGATGGGGAAATCGACATGAATACACGGGTGGTCGAGCTTCACAATTCCCTGGAAAAAAAAGAAAGAAAAAGAATAAGGAGGAGGAGTGATGGCACTGACCATATATCACCCTGTCACTGCAAAAGCGTGTTCCTAGCTCACCTGTGGAATTAGATTTTTCTGGATCCTCTTCAACTTGGACTTCTTTCTGCCATTTTTTGTCACGACCGTCTCCTCGTAGAATTCATGGGCGAGGTCACCGTCCTCATCATAATACAAAGAACTGCCAACACAGAAGGTGGACAATTGTGTCAGGATTAACATAGAGGAGGTGTAGGCATTACTTGCTTGCTGATAGTCGCATCTAAAACGGTTGTCAAGTTAAAAACAAACAAAAACAACAACAAACCCCCCCCCACCCAAATTTCTCACTCCCCTCCAACGTTTGAGACTCATGTATTTATTAATGTGCCTTTTTGGTTTGTCTGGGTTTTTAAATGTGACAAAAATTATTTACTGGATTATTTTGTCATTAATGCTTAACCCCACTAGGAATTATTGGCTTTGAAATCAAGAATAATCTAGAAACCTTACTGTGGACAGTTTAAAGTGGGACAATATTTCAGTAATAAAGTAATTCTAAGTGTGGCCTATAAAACTGTAAATGCACAAATGCCACTCTGGCACAAAAAATATGCTACTAGGTAGTCCCTGTAGTCTCTGCACTCAAGGCCGTGATAGTGTTCATTGTTTAATTTAATTTCCCATCACTTACTCCCATCAGTTGTACCATTGCCCTACTTTGAGCTGTACAACAGAAAGATAGAATTGCTTTCTTATACATACATTAGCCTCTAATGCATTTGAATGGGTGAGTAGATAATGGTCATTCTACAAATGGAGGACAAAACAGGCTTTTTATATATATATACACATACATACACACACACACACACACACATACACACATATATATATA